AAAATAACAGGTTTACATGCTTTTACATCTAAAGCAAAAGCTGTGCAAAACAGCAGATTTGCGCTATCATTTGCGTAATGTGCAAATATAGTTCAAAGAAACATATTTACCTACACATTTGAACCATCTGCAAATGACCCTCAAATCCATGGCTGCCCATTATCTTTGCACCAAGATGTAAATGTTGTGCAAATGTGGCATTTACCGTCATTGCTACGGATAGCAAATCTAGTGCAATATCAGTCTTTGCTCTTGCGCAAAATTGTGCAAATGTGGTATTTGCTACACATTTGCTGTAATTTGGCTACCCTAGTAAATCCATTTTTTCGTCCAGTGAGTGTTTTTTGTTTACAAAAGGTATTTTACGCAAAATCATGCATAAAAGCAACTGATGCTTTAAATTAGAACATGAATGGGCGGTTTTTAGTTACAAATTGCCTTAAAAAGCAAGAAAGTTATTCAAAAAAGAAAAAAGTTGCACAAAATCCGAAAAGTTGCTCCAAATCTGAAAAGTTGCTCAAAAGTTGCCGAGCAACTTATGGACAGCCCTATCCTCCCTCCCCCCTCTGAGGTTTTTTTAAAATTTTTTTAGACGATAAAACATCAGCACCTGACGTTTTCAGTAGCTGTTCGTTTATCCCTCGCGCGCAATTAGAGATAAGTTTAGTGATGGTCAGTTACTATGGGCTACGACATATGACGTCATAAGTAGCAGGTTGCCAAGCCTTTTTTGAGTGAAAATGCCTGTTTTTTCCATTTTTTTAAACAATAAAAGTAAAACCTGTCAATGAAATGATGCAAAGGGCTTATTTAAATTTTATTTTACATGTGAAGCACAGAAAATTATCATTTATCGCGATTTTAACCTGATTTCTAATTCTTGGTGAAATTCAAGATAGCGACCATTGTTGGTGACGTCACAGGCCTCCAGCAGTGTTTACCACCCATTAGCAGCAGCAGTTGCAACAGCAGTTTACCACCCATTAAAAATAAACCTCATCTTGTTGAGTAGATCAAAAGCTTTTACTGAAGGCAAACTCGTTTCGAAATACTGCAAATTATCATGATCAAAAACTCTGGGGAGGGGTTCCATCCACCCCTCCCCCTTATACCACGCTGGGGTATGAATTTGCGTGTACGTCCGAGGGTTAACCCCGTTAAATTAATTTGAATTATTTGTTTCAGTCATTTTCTTTAAAGCCGAGGGGAAAAAAGTGAAAAGGAATTATTAAGATTATGATGATGATGATTATTATTATTATCAATATTACAATTATTACAATGCAATTTTCCTTTGCCAAATTACAATTTGCCGATTAAGGTAGGTTACACGAGAAAAGGGGCAATCATCTGTACTACTATTCAGTCAGTTTCGCAGGAGTAACGAAATACTTGTAAACAACGTTAAGTGCTTTCCCCACGAAAATTGTTTGTCTTTTTCCTAAGTTAAAATTGATAAGTGTAGCCGTGGCTAATATAGAGCTCCACAGTATACAGTATGCCCTTTGATCTACAACGTTTTTTTTTGATGTTATTAATTAGAGAGATTTAGAGTTACGTTTACGGAAAACCGTGGATTTGTACCACGTGAAAAAGTGTTCCCTTTACTTCTCGAGCTTTCTCGTTTGCTGTTAAATAAATCTACAACAAATTGTTAGTTTCAAGTTAGTTTTATCCATAAGAATTGCTTTGAGCTGTTTTCATGTTATTTGCATATTTTCTATTTTGAGAAATTCTCAACTTGAATCTGTAGACGTTTGCCATTTGCCGTGAGGGTGACTATAAATCTCTCTATTTAATATCTTCTGTCAAAAAATGACTAAAATGAAAGCACGTTTTTTTACCAAACGCCCCATTGAGGACAGCTATTAAAAATCGCACTTCTTTCTTTGGGGAAATCCAGATACACGCCACTTCAGCAGTTGTGTTGACATCAAACTTTCAGCGCATCCCTGTAAAGAAAGTAACAATTGATACATTGATTAATCTTTCATTTCAAAACAAAATAAAGGTCAAAGCGTCAAATTTTAGGATGCCATGGATGATGATATGAAAAATAGCAAACTGATAAACATTTAACATGTTAGACATATTTGTTCGTTTTGAAGCTATGAATTTCTCTACATATGGTGCTAGTCCTGTAGAAAAACGAAGGAAACTTATTCCCTATGTATATCTTTTATCCATGCCTGACCTAAACTATTTAACAATTGAGAACATTAAGCAATGCTTAGTGTTCAATTGATTTTTGAAATGTGTTGGTAGCCCGTTAGGAATAGCATTTACTTGAGTGAATCCATAATAATTTAACACTTACCACCCAACCCATCCTTACTTTATACATATTTTTATTCTTTTTATTATCAAGTCTGTCATTTTCCTTTTATCTGAATTTTACAAGAATGGTTCTAGCCTTTCTTCTTAAGCCTTTTGTTACTAGAACAGGAAGAAAAAAAATCTCCACTTACGACTTGCTCAATTACTCTTTTTCCAATTCAATCTTAACGTCATCGCCCATCAGAATAAAAGGAGCCCAGTACTTTGGAGCAGAGTAATCGTGGGAGTCTCGAAGATATTTCATGGCCCTCTGAAGAGCAACACTTGCACTTTCTCCTCTTGCAAGTTGTTGGTAGAAAGATTCCATAAACATCATTGTGGCTTCGTCATCAATTGCCCAGAGTGTCGCCAGCACGGAACGAGCACCAGCAAACAAGAAAGCACGTGCCATACCGACCACACCCTCAGACGAGACCGGTCCTTGACCACTATGGCAGCAACTTAACACAACTAGCCTTGCTCTCAGCTCCACAGCTTGTATATCAGACATTTTCAACATATAGTCCTCCTCCGTAGGAGTCTTGGATTCCCGTCGGGGNATCATTGTGGCTTCGTCATCAATTGCCCAGAGTGTCGCCAGCACGGAACGAGCACCAGCAAACAAGAAAGCACGTGCCATACCGACCACACCCTCAGACGAGACCGGTCCTTGACCACTATGGCAGCAACTTAACACAACTAGCCTTGCTCTCAGCTCCACAGCTTGTATATCAGACATTTTCAACATATAGTCCTCCTCCGTAGGAGTCTTGGATTCCCGTCGGGGGTCTGGAGCCAAAACAATTTCTCCAGTTTCCTTCCTTCCGTGGGCTGCCATGTGAACCAAAGCAACTGACGCGATTCTCTGAAGTACCGCTTCTTTGGTTGCATCTTCACCTGTTAAAGGTTGACTCTTTAAAATTCGTCCAATCGTCTCCACTTCCATTCTTGCGTACTCCAGAGGATCATAAATGGGGCTCCCCCGTCTATCTGTAATTTTCTTCAAGCATGGTTCTCCAACAAGCAGGGCTCCACTTTTACTGTGGTATTCAATTGAAGAATCTGTGATGACTTTCAAACTTGTCAGTGAGGGAACAGTGCGGATCCTTAAAGTTTCACTCAGGGCTGCCCAAGGAGCTTTGGACAAAGCGCCATCAGGAACTACAATTAGTTCATCACCATCAAGCAAGTCTTCAATGGGACCAATAAGTACATCATATAATGGCTGCAAACAGTCGGTGGTCTCCTGTGATGCCTCCGATGCTTGATGTTCGTCTCGAGTAGTTGCAGTTGTTGTACTCAGCTTATCCATTGACCGATTTTCGCACCTGATACCTCTGCCAGCCGCAATGGTTTTTAAAACATTGTCTAAAAGGAGAGAAAAGGAATCTTCGTGCTCACTTCCAGATATTTTTAACTTTGCTTGCCTAAAGATAGGGTTGCCTTCTTTTCCCAACACCCAGATATTGACTGTTTTCTTTTGCAGGGCAAGAAAAACTGTTAAAACAGTTGTCTTCCTTGAAATATTTCTGACTTCTTCTTCAGATTCAATTGACCTGGGAGAAAGTGATGTAAGGCCATAAGTTAGTTTTAAGGCATCGACCAAAGCCTGTGCTCGTCCCCTCTCAGCAATGTATAAAGCCTCATCATTCCTCTGAAGCTCGACTAAAGTTTCCCATAAATAAGTATAGAAATATTGATGAGTCGTATGAAAACTTATTTTCAGTCTGTCTTCGGAAATAAAGCTGGCTCTTATTGTGTCATAGATTTTTAAACCGAGTCTTAAATGATCTAAACCTTCATTCAAAAAACCTGATTCTAAAAGACATCCACCCAGGTTGCAATGGGCACATCCTTCTGCATGCCTGTCACCGATTTCCTCGGCAATTCTCAGGTGTTTCTTATAGCACTCTATTGATTCTTTGAAGTCCTTTAGAGCTTCATAAGCTGATCCGAGAGCGCAATAGGCTTTTCCTTCTTGTCTCCTGTTACCGATTTCCTTGGCAATGCTCAGTTTCTTCATGTGGTGCTCTATTGCTCGTGGGAAGTCGCAGAGGAATTGATGAATCCTACCGAGAAGACCATAGGCATCTCCTTCACCTGCCCTGTCACCTATTTCCTTGGCAATGTTCAGGTGTTTCTTGTGGTTCTCAGCTGCTGTTGGGAATTCGCTGATGGAACAATAAGCATCGCCGAGATTATAATAGGTCACTCCTTCTAATGCCCTGTCGCCGATTTCCCTGGCAATCCCCACGCTTTGCTTGTAGTACTCTATTGCTCGTCGGGTTTCGCTGAGGGAATTATAAGCCAAGCCGAGATTACAATAGGCACGTCCTTCTTTTGCCCTGTTGCCGATTTCCTTGGCAATACTCAGGTGTTTCTCGAGGTACTCTATTGCTTGTTGGTATTTGCTGATGTAGATATAAGCAACGCCGAGATTACCATAGGCACATCCTTCTCCTTTCCTGTTCCCGATTTCCTGGGCAATCCTCAGGTGTTTCTCGTGGTACTCTATTGCTTGTTGGAATTTGCTGAGGGAATCATAAGCAATTCCGAGATTACCATAGGCACCTCCTTCTCCTTCCCTGTCGCCGATTTCCTGGGCAATCCTCAGGTGTTTCTCGTGATACTCTATTGCTTGTTGGAATTTGCTGAGGGAGTTATAAGCAGTGCCGAGATTACCATAGGCAGCTCCTTCTCCTTCCCTGTCGCCGATTTCCTGGGCAATCTTCAGGTGTTTCTCGTGATACTCTATTGCTTGTTGGAATTTGCTGAGGGAATGATAAGCAGTGCCGAGATTACCATAGGCACCTCCTTCTCTTTTCCTGTCGCCGATTTCCTGGGCAATCTTCAGGTGTTTCTCGTGATACTCTATTGCTTGTTGGAATTTGCTGAGGGAGTTATAAGCAGTGCCGAGATTACCATAGGCAGCTCCTTCTCCTTCCCTGTCGCCGATTTCCTGGGCAATCCTCAGGTGTTTCTCGTGGTACTCTATTGCTTGCTGGAATTTGCTGAGGGAATCATAAGCAATGCCGAGATTACCATAGGCAGCTCCTTCTCCGTTCCTGTCGCCGATTTCCTGGGCAATCCTCAGGTCTTTCTCGTGGTACTCTATTGCTTGTTGGAATTTGCTGAGGGAGTAATAAGCATTGCCGAGATTGTTATAGGCTGTTCCTTCGCATGCCCTGTTACCAACTTCCCTGGCAATGCTGAGGTGTTTATTGTGGTACTCTATTGCTCGTTGGAAGTAACTGAGGGACTCATAAGTACGGCCGAGATTGCCATAGGCACATCCTTCTCCTGCCCTGTCACCAACTTCCTTGGTAATGCTCAGGTGTTGCTTCTGGTACTCTTTTGCTTGATGGAAGTCACCGAGGGAGTAATAAGCGTAGCCTAGATTGTAGTAGGGATCTGCTTTCTCTGCCATGTTTTCGTTGATTTGCGCTATTGCAAGACGCTTTTTTTGTTCAGCTATAATATCTTGTAGTATACTTTCTGCCATTTCGAAATTTAAGTATTCAAAGTGGACTGTTTCTTTGCAGTAAGGTTTCTTTCAGGTGGAGCGTGGAGGTGGAGAAAAAAAAAAATTCTCATTAATACATTTGAAGTCTTCGTAAATCTCTCTATTTGACAGATAAGACATGATAGAACTTTCCACTCCTTTCTCCCTGGATTTAATCTAACTGACGCATCTCCGGAATTATTCTGTCTGTTATAACACAATATTTCAAGCAGAATTCCTTGAAACTTTTTTCTATAAATTAAGATGAAAATACTAAAAAAATCATCTTCGTGTACCCCACCTAATTATTCAGAATTAACAAAGAAAGGTTACATCTAGCACAAAAACTAATCATTTTTGAAACCTGTGATACCAAATGAAAACGCCCTGCAAAACATGTCGGGCGAGAGGCAATGAAAGCGTAAAAAGATCGAGAGCATTCCTGAATATTGAAGCGAAATGAGTCGGTGCTCACCTGGGAAAAACGAATCTGGACTCTTTGACAACCCGTGAAATCAGTTTAACTCGAAGTTGTGGTAACCTCAGTGCTTTAATAAAATGAGAAATTTCGCCGGTCTATTGAAACCGGTCGTTTGTACAATTTAGGGAATTTAAGATCCAACGACGCGGACGACAACTAGAACTTCAAAAAAACAATAGGTTTAATTAGCAAAACAACAACTTCGCACGTGCAACACACTTTTTTGTTCATTTCTTTCCCGTTTTTGCACGACTACGACGTTAAAATGCCTCATTTCGCGTTTTATGGAGGACGTAAATAAGCAACGACGAAATTTTATTTCTCTTTCTGAGCTTGAATATGGTCCCTTGAAATTCAGCTTTAGGAGGGTTCGCCTACAATTGACAAAGTAAGTGGGTAGGAATAATCGCTATAAAGACTGAAAAAAATAAACATCAAACCAGAAATTGCTCTCTTCAAACTGTAAATTATAAATGATCCTGAGAGAATATTCAGTGTGTTAAGGATTTCCCTGCTCTACTGTTAGCTCTATACAAGAGAGGAAGGGCGATTCTTTTTTAATTTCGGTTTCGCTGACACAGCTTTCGCAGAAATCTCGCTGTAGTCGTTTTCGTCGACAAAAGGAATAGCAAAATCGCTCTCCGCGTCTTCCCCCATTTTGTTCTGCGTCATTTCGTGAAGGACGCGTGGCTCTCAGCGTGGGTCATCCACGCGGAACATATTCGCGCTATGTGATTGGCTGTTGTCTAATCCCCCTTGAGATCTGTGGTGTTAAAAATAACTCGAGACGAATTACCTATAGAATAGGGTGTATATGGGGGATGCCCTCTCTGTCCCCTTTATAGTCTCTTGGTACAGAATAACTCCTTTTTTGGGGTTATTTTAACTCCTCAATCATTTTTACTCCTGTAAAAGAGTTCTTTAAACTCCTTTTTGGAGTTAAAATAACTCCCCAAAAACTAACTCCACTGTAAGGGGTTAAATTAACCCACTAGAGGAGTTATTATAACTCCTTGAAAATTACTGTGTGGAAATAGGTGTCGGTAGAGTTTGGTCAAATTGGGTACACTTAGTTACTATGGAGACATCTGCATTATGCCAACGTTTTAGCTCGATTGTCCCTGTTTTGGTCTGATTTATAGACCGGCCTTTTGAAGCCGAGTTCTCTGAAGTCGATTTTTAGGTCAATTTTGACGGTTTTGAATAATTTCGACCTTTAATGTGTGGATTCGGAACATTTTCAGCTAATTTAAGAGTCATTTCTTGTTAGCGCTATCCCCAAGGTTTTTATAGCAGAACATGTAGCTCAAAGAAATATTTCTATTGTTTGTGACTTTATTGTATAGTTTGAGGATACCCGTGCACGGATGGTAGGAGAAACCGCAAAAGGCCCAAAGTTAAGTCAAATTAACTTCTGTTCTCACTTTTGAAATTATAAAGTTCCCACATGAGTAGAAAGTGTAGATTTTTATCAAAAAAACCAAGAGGAAAACACTAAGGTTATACGGCTTTCCTACTGTGCAAGCGTGCATTGATGATTCTATTATAGTCATAACACTCTCCCCATGTAGTTTAAATAAATTGTTTCCGCCCAAATAGCCTGTATACAGGCGTCCCCCCGTCAGAAAAAAAAGATTTTCTAAGGGAAGGGTGTGGCTGTACACAGGTTAAGTCCAGAGAAATGGGGCTTGGTCTAATCCTCAAAAATGAGTCCGCTGCCCGGCGACAATTACATTACATGCAAATTCCAGGGAGACCACAAACTAGAAAACCACAACAAATTTTAAATTGTTTGCCTTACATAGAGCAGAAATACAAGCCATTTAATCAATAAAAAGTAATTTTCCTGAAATACTTTGTGGCATTATAATTTACATAGTCCCAATCCACAATGAATAAATTTTAAAGGCAGCTGTTTGAGGAAAGATTTCTTGACTAACTAAATGCATGACCTCAATTTCCTATTGATCGATGCGAGACTTAGTTTCACAAATTTATGAACAAAGCAGGTCTTTCTTCGTTAGCTATTATGATAAAAATGAAAATTATTATAAATCTGTGACGTCTACAACATGAGAGATCCTAGTCTGCTACACAGCCGTTTTCAGTGTCGTCACGCAACGCTCCTCCCCACAAACAGTGGGAAGGAGCGTTGCGTGACGACTCTAAAAACGGCTGTGTAGCAGACTAGAGAGATCCACGCTTAATACAAATTATCCTGGATATCCGGCATTGCTTGTGTGAGGAGGGGTAGGGGTGAGGGTTTCTTTTGGGGAGGGGGGGGTGGAAAGAAAGTGGAAGAGAAAAGCGGACAAGGGAGACAACGAACGGAGAGAGACACCAATCGGCCAAAACAATATTCTAGTCGGACGTTTTGCTTAACATGGAACAAACATACTTTGCTTCGCGGTCGCCAACCGGTCTAAACTTATTCAAGTTATTAATTATTTCTAAGTAAAAAAGAGAGGGGGAAAAAACTACAGCAGGAGATCAAAATGAACCTTGCAAAAATATCTGCTTAGGAAAATTCCAAGTTAGAGGAGATTATTTCTTACCTGAACGATTTGATATCTCTGAAGAAATTTTCGACGGAGTTTTGAAGTGTTATCCAGTGGTTGGATTTAAATGCAGAAGTCTATCAAATATATAGGGTGGCCGATAGAAACAAAAAACCGCAAGACAACAACAACAACAACAAAAATAGGAGAGAACAAACCCAAAACAGAAAGACATAAGACAAAACGGAAACCCAAAACAGAAAAACACTACCAGAAAACAGAAACACAAATTCCAATACGGAAATAAGCATCCCCAACCGGAAAGGCACACGAAAAAGTACAAAATTAAACCACAAAACTGAAACAGAATCCAAAAATACAAACCATAGCCACAAAAGACGAAAACAGAAACAAGGAAATAGTGTAAAGCTATACTTTCTCATGTTTCATCGCCTTTTTTTGAATAGGCGTTTTACGTTTTTTTTAGGGAGAGCATGATCGTAGGCTATTATTATCTAGGAACATCAAACTGTAAATCAATCTCGTTCCCAGCCTATCTGTTCTCCCCATCGCCTTTCGCTCCAGGTGACCGGTATTTTCGACTCTGAGGTCTCCGGTGAATTTTAGCCCGCCGGGGTCAAAACCACGTGGGGGTACGTTTCTCGATCGTCCCAGTACCATTTCTAGTCCAAAGCAGACAACCTAACGTGAGACATAACTACTAACGTATGGCGTTAAAGTTACAGAGATTGACTCTGAATGAACGTCAGTTGCTCGAGATTAATACGCCTCCGCGCCTGACATTGGGGAAGCGACCGTAGCGAAACGTCATTTATAAAGCTATTTGGCATACTTTTAAAATTCGTGGAGGCTATCTTAATTGGCTAAGTTGGTCAAATGTAGCTAATTTTTGCGTGGAAATAAAGTTTTAGAGAGCACTGACATCAAAGAGTAAATAGAGAAAAAGAAACTTGTCTTTGGGTGCTTATGTCCTCCATATAACGTAGTGATGGCGAATAAAAATTTAAAAAAACGTGCCATGCACGTGCAGAGTTATTGTTTTGTTTATTGAAATTGTTTATTGGGTCACCCTCCCAGTCCGAAAAATGCAGTAGTTCAGAATAGACTGGGGCCACGGGGCCTAATTGGCTATTTACGCGATGGCTTGTTTTTGCTACTAAAGGAATTCTTTCATATTTAAATTTGGTAATCCCACTGAGGTTTAAAAAACAAAAGCCCTAATTTGCACAAGAAAGCAAAACCCTGAAGGAATCTTGCACCTTTTTAGAATCCTTCAGAATTTGGCCTTCTCATACAAATTAAGGCTTCTGAATTTAACGAATTAAATATGAGAGAAATGAAAAAGAAAAAAAAAACGAAATGATTCTTGTCATATTTGTAGTGACACTATCGTGAAAAGCCCCGTCCACACAAATCCGGATATTTTTAAAAGCGCATTTATATATATTTTTCACATGAATCGGCCTTCCGTCTTGTATTCCGTCCACCGAAACATTATGCTGATTTAGCAACAGAACGGGAGCGTCAGTTGACGACGAGAAAGCGCGCGGAAAGGACTGAATTCGACTTCTGGTGCTCAATTTGCTTCTCTGCCAGACGCTCTGCCATTGGTCAAGCCAGTTGTTTGATTTGCGCTCGTCGTCGTCAACTGACGTTCCCGTTCCAGGGGCGGATCCAGGATTTTTTTTAGGAGGGGGTGCACTCGTCTCTTGCTCTACTTCAACACTAATAAACCACATAGTTTTTTTTTTCTGCAGAATACCAGTTGTATTAGAAAACCGTAGGTCATCTCAGGGGAGGGCGCGCACCCCCTGCACCCTCCCCCTAGATCCGCCCCTGCGTTCTATTGCTAAGTCAGCCTAATATCTTTTTGAAACCTCTCTCCGGAGTGGTTTAAGGCCTCGTCTACACGAATCCAGGTAAAAAGTTATGCAGTTTCAAAAATTAGTGTGGATTCGTGTGCACGTGGCCCTAAAACAGTTCAAGGTAGCTTTTGCTGAATCCAGTCAAGAATGTCCTTGTAAATCACTCTCCCAGTTTCTTCCACCTCATTCAACAGTTCATGGCGTCCATTTTTGTACACCTGCAAAGCAAGTTTTACACGCAGTTAAGTTTATAATGAAGTAATAATAGGTAGATTTAAAAATGACAACGGGACGGAAAATTGACCCAAGATGGAAAACTCTATATTATTCTTTAGACACCCGTTTGGAGACGAGAATTTCCTCTTTGGTGATTATTTTATAAATTCTCATAACCTTTTCGCTTGAAAATGTGGTGACATTGTTAGGAGAAAATAGATATTGGTCACTCTTGGGGTTAAAAGGGTTTAGACAAATCACGACTTTTGTTGGGATAATTCACAATAATTACGCTTGGAACAAAGAGGCCGAAACTCCTACCCCGGGCAGGATAATATCACCACATGAAGAAACGCCGTTTTAAGACCGCCTCTTCCTGTCATCATGATATATATACCGTCAAGCGCCCTAACTATTCGTTGGAAATACCCATAGAGAGGCTATTAGTTCGCTCAGTGCTGTCAGTAAAGCAGCTCATTCGTGTACCTTAAATGTCTTGTCGTTACTTGGGGAATTCTCATGTAGGTAACATGAACCGTCAATCTTCACTAATTGATCTCCATCACCATGGACAAGTAGATAAGGTGTTGTAAGTCTTGACAAGTTCCTCTGGATTTCATTCATTGCGTCTAATATAGCTCCGACCCATCTCACTTTAATTCCCTCATGCCAGTTTAGGCTATCATTGGCATACTTTTCAACCTAAAACAATAGTAATAAACAAGACGCATTATGTTATCGAAGTCCTAGACTTGCCACAAGTCGACCGCGAAAGCAAGAAGGCTCGAGGGAAACCTGGTACTCAAGGAAATTCGACTTTCTGTAAGATTTATGGTTATTAAATGGATGGTGCAAAGATCTCAATGACATTGAAATTTATACGGGGAAACTCCAAACCTAAACAAACACGACGAGCTCCTTCAACGATAAATGTTTAAGGATTTAGGCCTAGGGGTGGAACCTTCCCGTATAAAACATTGTTGCGTAGCCACTCCCTCCCTCCTTCCACCGGGGGTATAATCTTAGGGCTAATTAATTGAACAGGACAGAATGACCCTCGACGTACCCGCCGGCCCCAAGCGTTACTAGTTCATTGCACAATCATGAAGGATGGAAAACATCAATTCCACATTCCGAAGGACTTGTCATTAACTATTAAACTGAAAAACTTTTATTCAACCTCTGCCCAAAATAGTCCAGTGGTACGAAATGTCAAATTTCGCGATCGGTTTGAGGGACTGGACACAGCCTCTATCGACAACCTCCAGAAATTACCGGAACATGTTGGGCATTGTCTTCGGAAATGCGGATAAAATGCACACGAAAGTCTCCCTCCTTTGACTCAGTAAAAGAGAGCAGTTTTCAGTTGTTATTCGCCTTTTTAGAAACGAGAAAGGAATTTTTTCGGAGAAGAAATTTGACCCGCGATTGTTTCTTGGATTGTTACTGGGGTATTGCTATTGGCCAATCTTTTTCTCTGTCCTTAGTAACAATCCCAGAACTCTTTGCGAAAGTAAACTCGGCTGAGTTTCCCTCTAGTTTTGTATCACCTGTCTAGGATCCTGGCTTAAGACTGATGGATAAATCGGTGGCCTGATCTGGTACGAGGGCATTTTCCATGATACTATTCTTCCTGGACAAACCTGTAAGATACATGCGTTGTATACGTTATTTGAGACCTTTAGTTTTTAAGACCAAGACGACTACGAATACGAGATTTTCTTAATGCTAAGCAGTGCGCGCGCATGAACCAGCGTCATTTTGGCGGGAAAACGTGATAGCCGTCGTCATTCTACTACGAGTTTTGCCGAGAATGTCGTTGTGACGAAAACAAGTTATCAAATGTTAGAAGCTTAGATTTATTATTTTCGGTCGGGAGAGGGCTTAAACTCCTTCAATAAGTAACAGTGCTAACTTTTCTGGTGAATCAAAAGTACAATGGAGCTTTCCGGGTGTCTATTTTTCTTTTTGAAAAGAGCGAAAGTCGTACTCCTAGTAGTTCTCGTCCTCGAATCTAAAGGTCTCTTTTAACCAAGCGTGAGGTCCAGATATCTGAATATTGGCCAAGTTCGTTTTGCTTTGTTTTTTGCGTTTTTATATATGGAACAATCACTACTGTATTAATTTCGCACCCCCCCCCCCCT